ACGCGCATGTGCGGATCGCATGCAGATTCGAGTTGTATGCTTAGGAATGTGAATCAATGACCTTCCTAGCGTTAGACAGTCTTGTGTGGGCAAAGATTTCAAATTAGAACAAGAAGAAACTTTGTTTATCAATAACAGAAAGACGAATTTAATGATTTTATAGGCATCTTTTTCCTTGTAAAGTATTATTTTCTTGGCCTGAGAGGTCAACGTATTAGATATCATGATATCACTTAGCGACAATTTGTCTAGCAAGTTTGATTTTATCAGTCAAAGCAAGGACTCCTTTAAAACGTTCTTATCGCGTTAATCACATGATCTTTTAGGTCACGTTTATTATAATCTCAAGAGAGTTTGGATATTTTGAACTAGATCTTATTAGACCGTGATATCGGCTATTTTGGAGAAAAATTAAGAAATATATATTTTAATCTAATTTTTATATTTTATGTAATATCCTACTGTCTTTCTTTCAAGTTTCATTTACATTCATAATATCATATGATTAGACAAAATATAACATCATAATCTTTTCACTCGTGTCTATCAATTTTCAAAAATAGCTAGTCCTACTTCACTAGTTTACCGTCTTCCATACATTTTATATGGCTGTATGGCCGCCAGTGTAATGCAAAATGCGCATGCCCGACGCCATTTTGTCCGAAATTTCTGGCAATGTTTTCAATCTCGTACCCAGACATGGGTTATCTTTCGGTCATCGATAAGAGATTGTAAATTTTTCTTAACGAAAGAAGTAAAAATGCTCCATTTCCACGAAAATGCTTAGCAATTTGATGAATACGACAATGATAACCGCAATCGAGTTTTCGAACTGACAATGCTGATTGCATAGAGTAATGCACAAATACGCAATATGCAACTATATGCAATATGAGCTATGTAACCAGGGGCGGATCCAGGATTTTTTTTAGGGGGGTGACTTTTGATTTTTTAAGAGTTAACATATTTAATTTTCCCGCCAAACGTACCAAAGCTTCGCGAATGCATGTGTGTTCTTAGATGCCCGAGACGCTAAAAAGTGTTTGTCCTTTTGAAAAGTGTTGTTTCTCGAAATATCAACCAATTATTTCCCTATTTCCTTGATATGAATATCTTTATATTCAATTTATCCAGGAAAAAGGGGGGTGAACGTTCACCCAGTTCACCCCCCCTGTATCCGCCCCTGGTAACGAAAGTTAATACGTGTTGTTTATGCCCGGAGTGTGTTCAAGTACAATATTGAGTTTAGCGTTATGAAACATCTCAGTCCTGTGGTTCAAACCCCACTGATACTACAYGAACACTACCATGCTTACTTCATCGATCATAATTCATTCGAATAAACGAATCTATCAAACAATAAACCAGTAATCAGCAACACAGCACACTTAATGTTATTATTGTATGCGAACAATACTCGGACAATGAAGTTCCTGTCGGCTACACAACAATTGATTGTGAAAACAAACAATACACTGTTTGATGTTTAATTTAATGTTTTATATAATTACATTTGGATAAATCAATGAAAATATTGTTGTAGAACTAGACTAGTCCTGGCAGGTCCAATTTGCTGCACAAAATAACAATAAGATACAAACAAAAGAGAGAGAGAGAGAAATTGTAATATTCTGGCTAATACAACTGGCACACAACATAGGATGAATTAAAATAAGAAAAATATGATCAGTCATTTGATGAACGTCTGACCGCTATCTTGTACATGTATTTAATCATTAATTAACCAACAATTAATGACAATTGTTTGAATAACTATATCAACATACTTGTAGAATTCGATTGTTTTGTATACTAGTCTTATTTTTATGAAATATACCCAACATGCACCCAATATAATGATATAAATTAGAAGCCAGGATTTTTGAAAGTGACTGTAATGACGTTTATAAGTATCTTACCGTCCTTACCCATTTTTTCGAAACGTTTTTGAACTGACTTGAGCCACAGCACACACTGCCAACAACCAAAGTAAAACACTTCTCATGTTTTAGTGAAGTTGTTCGATACATTAGGCTTATGAAATTCTAGATCCAATTTTGCTGTATTTATGTGTAGTGGTTTGGGTCGCAAGGACGGGCACAAGGTCTGTGTAACCCTATCCGGAAGATAAGTATCAAAAATAAAGCTCCATACAAACAGGAACAACCACGTCGGACGTGTTTTAGCTTGATACTCATGCTAAACGTGTATGGCATACATAAAGCTTCTTATTGTCATAGGAAAGTCTCAAGTTTCACCATGCACTTAATGTAGCACCTAAAAAACGTGTTGTGTGCATTCCAAGCCCGAGATGCATTGTTGGTTGTCACATTGCCGCTAAACATTGTTTTCAGTGCTTTTATACTGAAATGCTATCCGTGTATCATTTCATTATACTTCCTCGTCATTACCATTATCATTATCACTTTTAGTGTTCGTTACAACTAGTATGAATTTCCACTTTCAGCGAAAGAGGAAGTTTAAATGCAAGATAGATTTGGAAAGAAGTCAAAGATAAGACTCAGCACGCCCAAAGGTTTGTATTTATTATCTCACTTATTAAGGTGAAATATGTGACTTGAAAACTTGAGCATCTCAGAGAAATCTGCCGATTAAATACCAAGCATGCCTCAACATAGCTATGGCCAACTTCCTCTTTCGCTGAATGAGGAAATTGAAATACAACAAAATCAACAATCAAATGATGATGATGATAAGGAGTGTAATGAAATGATATCAAATTGAATGTTAATGACTTTTAACACTTGTTTCTCTTCTTCTTCCAGTTTAAAGCCTATCTACCCCTATCCAGGCTAAAACGACGACCAAATTGTAACCCTATACCAGACAAAAAGCATAACTTATTCCAGACAAAAGCTCAATAAAGAATACTCTACCTCGGACATGAAAACCGAAAATTCTCCATACTCTATGGCGCGGCACATACCCGTACAGAACAGAACAACATATGTACACTGCAAATGCATGTATAATAAATATAGGGAGAATCCCCTCTCCCAAAGTCCCATCTCCCCCCCCCCCTCCCCTCCTCTCTCTCCTTCGGTTTCAGTCCAGACAAACAAAATTATATCAGATGAAAATGATCAGCCTTGCACCACGATGTGGTGTATTTTACAGAGACTTATTAAACGTGCTTAGCTTTGAACGTTGATTTCTTGCCAAGGTTAAGGTTTATATTCATCATCTCACTCAACTAAGAGGTTAAATATGTGACTTGTAGAACTAGAACATCTTAAATGACATACATATTAATTAAATAGTGAATACTAACATCGTTAGTAAACACAGCTATGGACGTCCATCGAATCATTGCGGCTTTGTTGACCTGCTGTGTGCTGTGTTCAAGTGCAGAATTTCCAGAGTTTATTGAGAGTAATGGATTGGATATCAAAGGGTATGAAAACTGCTAAAATCGGCCGCGAAATAACAATTTGATAAGTAAACGTTCTGTCTGTTGTGTACAATGAGCCTTTCGTTGATAGAAAAACGCTTATCGCGAACACTACTAAAACCAAATCGAATCAAAACACTTTATTGCTGGATGCTTTTTTCTTGTGTAAAAAGATCATCTATAATTTGTATGAACAGTTGTGTAAAAAGATAATTTTTAAAACACCGTAAAAAAGTAAGTGAAATAGCTTACTAAAAGTAGTCAGTAGCTATTTCACCTACTTTTTTGCGGTGCTTAATTTATTTTTTACACAACTGTTTCTTTAGATACACCGACGACGCAGCTCACACTATAGTTTACCGCTAGTTCCCACTTTTTATATATATATTTGTATGGTTTTACTTTGTTCTTCAATTTTTCTTTTTTTTTTCATTCTTCGTTTTCACTATACTTCACAGCAGTCATCTTGATTAAACTTCAACAAAGGATTTCTCACTTAGTGTCATTGTTCATTCTTTTTATGTGAATGATTGAAAACGAGCAGCAATCGCATGTCGCCCAGGATATTTTGAAATTGCAATAATTCGTAATCATGTAAATCATTTTTGCCCTACTGAGGGAGCTTTTAAGAGAAAAAAGATCAGAGTTTCATGCATGTTGTATTTTCAGCCCTACTGAAAACAACGAAAGGTCAGGTTTCAATTGAATTAAAGGTAGTTGCAATAAATATCTGTGCTGAATCAATACTACTTTTCCACAAGGGAGTACAAGTAAGGGCTTCTTGATGCGGTTCGCTCAGTTTTTCGTCATTACAAGAGTATTCTAATGAAGAACATGTGTATTCTATTGATCATTATTGGATTGAATATATCAAATGTTTTGCTATCTAGGGACAATGTGTGTCGACATCCTGTGAGTAGAGCAAAGAACATCACAAGAGCAGTGAGACGTACCTTGTCAACTGTAAAACAGACAACGTGCTACAGAACATTTCGCATCCCTTTGCCTTGGTTTCCGTATAACCTGACTCGTCAGACCACAAAAAAATGTACAAAGATCGAGTAAGTCAGTTGTATTAGCCTAATGATCATGTACTATAATGCTAGGGTTATAAAGGTACAGTCAAAATAAATGTAATACAGAATTATATATTCATATTGATTCCTAGTTGATATTCAACATAGAATAATACAACGAAACAGTAGGAGCAATTTAGTCGGCCATTATCAGGCTAAGTAGATATACAAGGTGCAATTTAGTTTATACTACATAGCTGCATTAATGACATTAATTAAACAGAGTCAATATTATTACTCTTAATAGTATTATCATTGTTGTTATTGTTATTCTTAATATTATTATTGTATATCCACTTAACATGATGATGGTTTTACAACAAAACCCAAATATTGGTCCTACTGTCTTGTCTATTCTATGTTGAATATCAACTAGGAATATGAATTTATTAGAGATATTACATTTATTTTGTTCTATCTAAAACTATCAGCCTGTCCTGGATAAAGGCCACATAATCGTCTATAGTTTCTTATTTGAACAACGATGGTCCGATATGTTTTATTAGACTGAGTAGAAACTCATTGCCCTATGCAGCCAATCAGATACCTCAGGGTTGTAAATGTATTTTTAATGTATTCAGGAATAAGGTTGTGGTGTTGAATGAAACAATGACGAAAATCTTCCATGGATATTCACTTAAATGCTGTCTTCATTGGAAGAAGATCAATCATACAGACCTTGACTGCAAAAAACGTAAATAGCATCTTGACTGTTTTCAAATAATGTATTTATACTTACTGGTTGCATAGTGCTGTTCCTTTGGATGGTTTGATCGTTTCACGTTATTTGTCGGAGGACATAGGTGGGTGGGTAGGTTGGATGGTCAGTGGAATATCGATTGGTTGGATATTTGATTACTGCTATGTACTGGTTGATTAGTTGGTTGCTTAGTTGGCAGGTAGGTGAGTTGGTTTTCTTGGTAGACTGGATAATTAGTTGTTTGGTTGTTTGGCTGGTTTATGGATGGGTTGCTAAGTGAGTAGCATAGTGATTTATTTGGTTTGATAGTATTGTTCTGTCCAAAGCAATCTGTCCCAATGGGTGTGTGCACGGTAAATGTATAGCTGGTGATACATGTAGATGTGATGAAGGCTGGCAAGGCTACACGTGTAACCAAGGTATGTATTGCAATTAATACTCGTTGATGTTTTAGTATGAAAGTTTATTCTTCTTGAAATTCAATCTCGAGAGCCCAGAGTCTTCACGGCTAATGTCAGCGGTATCAGGTCAGCGKTATCAGTTACGCTCTCACAAATTGACGATGGATGGCAAAAGTCAGAGCTCTGGTTCTAAGGTTGAATGAAAAAAGTACCCTGGAATCGAATCAATGTGTATCTAGAGCTGGTGGGGGCTGCAGTCCCCTAAGACCCGGCCCAACCCCCCTCACGACTGCGCCGGCTCTGCTTGATCTCGTTTACGATAATGTGTTCCATGTACTTTCTGATAAATGTTAGTATAACAGTAGCCATTTGTTTTAACCATCGTGTGTTAACCTGTTTAGATATCAACGAGTGTTACATCGGTAATGGCGGTTGTCAACATGACTGCTATAATCATGTTGGTTCCTACAAGTGCACGTGCAGAAGAGGTTTTCGGATTAACCCCAAGAATCTCACTGAATGCATTGGTAAGATAGAGCGGATTTCGTATGAGTGGGACACCGTTACCGCACGGTTACCGCACGGTTACCGCACGGTTACCGCACAGTTACCGGACCTGGCCTGCACAATTTTGGTGAACCAATGAGACACTAGAATTTGGTCACAGTTCGATTACGGTCAGAGTACAGTACCGTCCGTTTCCCACTCATACGAAATCCGCTCTAATCGATTATGGTGATGCATGACGATCATTGTACGATACATCTATCTATCTCGAGCAGTGACATTATGTATAGTTTAAGCGCCTTCTCCATGGACACTACGTGTAACATCAACTTATAAAGCTACTATTTGAGATCAAATGTAAACTTATTTTTATTTTTTATTTCTTTGTTTTGTCGTTCCAGATATTGACGAGTGTAAAGCGTCCAGGTCGTCGTGTGTCTGCACTGTTAGCAGCCCACAGTGTCAACCAAAGTGCATTAACAAGATAGGGTATTATAAATGCCAATGTCCTAAAGGCTTTAAATTGCTTAGACCTGGAACTTGCATAGGTTTGTGGTGCTTTGATAAGGAGATTTATATGACAAGGATCATTATCACAATAGACGCGCCATTTGCCATTGTGATCTATGAAGGCTGGTCTTATTTTTTTTTAGAAGGGGGATTGGTATCGATTTGACTCCACCAGAAAAATTTTCCTTCACCTCTCCAGTTCCAGCTGGAACCAAATCCATTCTTTAACCTGTCCTGGAGCCCATTGAAATTTACTGAAATGAGATAATCCTCATTGAAATAATACATTTTAGCATATTTTGTTTTTCCAAGAACATGTACAGCTGCATAACTCCAAGAAAGAGCCAAACTAAAAACAAGACCACATTCGATTCATATCTCTACCATTGAGTAACTTTAGGGCTCAAACTGTTGATGAGTCAATTATTCTCAACCCTTTTTCATCCCATGGAACTACAGTTGACCCAAATAACTACCCAGTACTTATGCGGAGATCTGTTTGTTTGATAGATATCGATGAATGTCTAACTCCCAACGATTGCAGTTACAAATGTGTCAACACACAAGGAGGCTATAGATGCGAGTGTTTTAAGGGTATGGCGTACGTGAAAAGAATTAAAACTTGCCGTGGTAAGTGTTGTTTTTTTTATCACCGTTATCATTCGGCCGGCCATCTGCAGCAGCCTGAAAACCAATTAATTACGGCAAATCTGAAGGCATAGACATTTGGAGAAAGTAAGTTACCGAGGGTGATCGGGGTGAATCATCAGTGGCAGGTTCAATAGCGTCCTCCCGATGTAGGATATATCAGCTAGGATTTGAACGCTGTTCTCCTTTGCCCTTTCTATGATAGTTTTGGACAAAGTCATCTATCGTATGAAATTGTCCACTCCTAAGCATCTGCAAAAAGGATTTATCCGATAGATTGCGCTCCTCGCAAAACAGTCTCCTGTACAAATAGTCCAGTGTTTTACGCAAAAGCGTTAAAGTTGTCAGCGCGCATATTTCGTTCGTTAAAGTGTATATATCGGTTCAGCAATTTTGGTTTAAAATAAAAGTTTAGACTGTCATKAATYATGTTTGGTGGGTTAAACTCGAAAAAAAATTTTTTTAGTGTCATTTTTTAAGGCCTAAAAGTGCTAAAAATGCCTGTTTTGGGCCTCCTGTGCCAAAATTTTGGAGCRATGCAGAAGTCTGGTAACTAACATTTCATGACRTCATTCACGGAACTCGTCACCCAGAACAATATTGTTTCCAGTCATTTTCCAGTCAAAAAACTATCAAAATTCTATAATTTAATTCCGTACTTAAGAATACGATTCCTCTTCCAAAATGCCCAATAGCAGTAGTCAAAAGTTGTGGTAACATAAACAGTCGTGAAAACGCTATATTTCCTAGCACGAAATTCAGTATTAAGGCGACCTGCGACAAGAGGCAATTCGACGACGAAAGAGACGAGACATAAGCGCTCGTTAGCGAACTTTGCAAAAACATTTGTGAGTAATTAGAGTAAAAAATGCGAAACTCTTCTTTACATAAAAGCTTGAATGAAGCCTTTTATAATAATACAGTTTGTCCGTCCATATTCATACACTTTGCCTTATAATGCAGGATATGATCGCGTAGCTACTCAATTTTTGGCGAAGTTTGCTCGTCCGAATAACCCTTTTATACAGAGAAAGTTCGAGTAACTGCTTTTCTCAACATTCGCAAAGTTTGACTGTCCGCATATGAAACTTTTTTATATATAGTCACGCTAAACAAGAAAATCAACCTCTTTTAACTTGATTTTTATGCACGAGTTTGTCATCAAGTCACAGATAGAGTCCGAGTAGAGCGTTTTCGACGGAAAATTTCTAAGTGCCACGGCAAAGGTGTTTTGTATACTATGCCCAGTAAAGACCAGCGAGCTTTATACAAAGTAAGACTGCTTAAAAGGAGCGCTTAGTATTTCTGAGAAGGGTTTGTCGTACGACTTCCATATATGGTTGTGCATGTACGGCRCTGATGTGCACATAGAAGGCGCTTATGTGCACATAGAAGGCGCTGATGTCCCAATTACGTGGAGAAGAACTTAGAAAATTTCAAAGACCTAAACTTAAACTGAAAAGAAMTTTTTGAAGAACGAGTACTAAGATTCGAACCAGCGCTATGTATTGCCTAACCCGATATTATCCCTAAACCTAACCATTAAGCCACGAGACCAATTCGCTTGAGTGAACCTGAATTTTTGTGATATTTATGCAACGGCATGCATGAATAACCACGCATATGTACATAWSATTGAWTATATAATYAATGAACCATCTATAGGGACATGAGAGCCTTCTATAGGTACATTAGAGCCATCCATATGGACATCCATATATGGAAGTCGTACGACAACCTCTACTCTTGATCGGGTTTCATATCAGATTCAACTTCATAATTACTCAGAAATGTAACAAGAGTCTCTACATTCACTGCTGCAATCAGACATGTCTTTTTTCAAGAAAAATCAGTCGTTTTAAAGATCATATAGAAATGAAGAAAGTTATAGTGCTTAGAAGGAGGCAATTCCGGGAGAAGTCCCTTAGGAATTAATTCGGAAAAATTAATTTCCGACCTCGCTGGGATTCGAACCCACGACCTTCGAATCCCAGCGAGGTCGGAAATTAATTTTTCCGAATTTATTCCTAAGGGACTTCTCCCGGAATTGCCTCCTTCTAAGCACTATAACTTTCTTTCATTTCTATATCGTGTTTATCATAGTGCCATGCGGTCTTCATATTCATATGTTTTAAAGATCATTTCTGTGAAGTTTATTGTTGTTTACCGTAAGCTTGTTCCGTGAATGACGTCACTGGACGGACTAGTACCAGGCCTCCATAACGCTCGACTTTTATCAGCTCATCCCGCAGTTTGAAAGCTTGAAAATATACGAAATTTATATAGTACCGTAAAATTTTCTTTGATTATGTGATTTTTAATGTCCAAACTTTCATTTGAAAGAAAAATTGCTGAACCGATATATGCACTTTAAAAAGTAATATTTATAAACAATGCATGGGGTCTACAGGGGCGGATCCAGCTGGTGCTCCCCCCCCCCCCCCCCCCACCCCCCACCCCCGAGATCTATATCCTTCAATACTTTCCTTATTTTGTAACCCGCACCCGTCCCTGAGGAAAATCCTGGAACCGCCCCTAGTCTATGTGATTGGTGAACTGACAAACTGATTTTTTCATTGATGACTTTACTGATTTTATTGACTGACAGATATCAACGAGTGTAAGGTCAATAATGGTGGTTGTGCTCAAAGGTGCATCAACATGTACAGTTCATATCGATGTCGCTGCAGGCTTGGTTACCGTCTTGCAGCAGATCGAAAAAACTGCATCAAATACCAGCGTGAGTCGAGTCTTTGTTTATATGATTTGTATCATAGATCACAAGTATCCAGTATCGTGCATTGGTACTAGGCAAAAATTATCACCATAGCGGTATATTTAATATTATTAGAATTATTACAGATTAATTAATCAATTTACATAATTATCATTATTTTTTAATTTTTGTGTTTTCTTTTTACCGGAAAAACGTCGACTTCAGATGAAGCTCTGGTTGCTTTATACACTGTGAATACACGCATACACGATCAAACCAGTATAGCTGAAGACAACACATACTAGACGAGACGCACTGAATTCTTCCCGTAAAAATATCTCATTGATATTCTGGAGGGATATGGGGACCAAAATGATAAAAAAGTAATAGTTATAAGTCAGTAAGGCTTTAGAGGAATGCACCTAATCCGTGAAACAAAGATTGTGCAAAATAGTGTCCAAATTATGGTAATTCTTTTGTTCTCTACCATGGTTTCACGGATTATTGGCGTCCACTCTACTTGTTCATTAATGATAACTGTTGTTGTTTGTTACAGTTCCAGACTTTGACGAAAATATGAAGAAGTGAAGCATGAAATACACTATACTGTTTTATCAAGATGAACCGTTTATTAAGCTTAAACCATGAAACCACTGCATGCTTTTCTCAAAAGTATTGATTATTGAAGATACACCTAATTGAGAAAACAGTCGGGCTAAACAGGTTGGATGATCAAAGCTAAGACCGAACGGGTATACATGCACTGAATGACCTTCTCTACTAGTGTGCTATAATGATAGGCAAATATGATTCTAACTTTGCTTCTATAAGATCTCATTTGCTCACAACTTTTCCCAATTTGGGTTAGATCAAAATTGCCTGTATCGATCAAAAAACCACCATCACCCTGACAACCACCATTTCATATCAGTAGCAGTCATATTTTCTTAATTTTAAAAACGTAGTCAGCTTCTAAAAGGTTACGTCATCAAAGCCAAGACCATCAGGGAGCATGGGGAAGCAAATGTCATGAGTAACACAGAGCTTCAGTGACAAAAGATTACAAATGTAATTTGAATTTTTTTTTTCCGTGTTACCTTTGATGGTATCACCTTTTTGCGACCCAACATTTTTTCAACTAGGTGTATATACAAAATTGAATAATCACAATCATAGAATATGCGATTGATAACACTGGAAGAGATCATGGAGAATTGTAAGACTAAAATATCATTTCATTGTTCTATGATTTTGAATACTGGGAAAATCGTCATAGGGTGTACAATCGTCATAGGGTGTACAATCGTCAT